TATTTATTTTTTTTAAAAGTAAAGTATCAATCACACCATTCACTCACATTCACTCACTCACCCACACAATCTAAATATATATCATTATTTATTATATTCTCTATATTATAATAATCAAAAGAATATTCATTTATTTTAATCTTTTTGGGCAATATTTAAATTATTTTATCTTATTTTTTTTTTTTTTTATAAAAAAAACTTAAAATTTTAAAAAAAAAAATAAAAAAAAAATAAAAAAATAAAATTTTTTTTTTTTATTTTTCCATATTTTTTTCTTTTCACAAATCGAATTGTAGAAAAAAAAAAGAATAATTTATTACTTCTTTAAACCAGTAATAATTCTCTTTTTCTTTTTCTATATTTTTTTTTATTTTTTGTTTTTTATATTTTTTTTATTTTTTTTATTTTTTTAAATTTTCATTTTCATTTTCATCACCATTTGCATTGTTTACTCATTTATTTAATAAATTAATATTAATTTGTTTTTTCACTTTCTACAAAAATTAATAGTTTTTATAATAAAAAATAATAATAACTTGAATAGTTTAATAAAATCACAATCTTTTTTTAAAATAAAAATATAAAAAAAAAAAAAAAATAAGTAAACTGGTACCGGTAAATTGGTTTCAAAAATTTTATTTTTTTAATTTTTTTTAATTTTATTCATAAATAAAAAAATAAAAAAATAAAAAAATAAAACAATAATAATAGCAATAGCCAAAATAAAAATATAAAATATTGTAATATAGTCTTATAAAAATTTCTTATAAAAACTTTTTTTTTTAAGAAAATAAACAAAAAAAAAAAAATAAAATAAAAAACCAAAAAAGTAGTGTTATTTCAAAATATAATAAAAAAATAATTATCTATATGTGTAGTAATAATAATAATAATAACATTCGTAATATCGACAGAAACAATACCAATATAGTACTAAAAATATAATAAACTTAATAATAGTAATAATAATAATAATAATAAAATGAGCACAAAGGCATTCAGTTTAGAGAAAGCTTTTATAGCAAATGTGGCAGAATTGTTCAGATATTTAGATACATTAAATGTTCCCAAGTTATCAAAAGCTCTAGATTTAGAAAAGGAAATAAAAAAGTCCTCAAAAGCCAATAGTAATAATACATTAAAGTCGACATATAGTGCAGCCACCAATGTATATTGTATATTTCAAGTAAGTAGTATAATATAGTTATTTTTATTTGTTTTAAAAAAAAAAAAAAAAAATTTTTAACCCTCTTTTTTTTATTATTATCACAAATTTTTAGGACCAAATTTTACCATGTATTAATGCATTTTGCCATTTGCATACAATTAAAATGATGTCAATTGCACAAATATTTCATGAAAGATTGGTTAAATCATTAACCAAAGACTTTTTTACAGAAGCAAAGGCACAACATTATATTGGGCTTTTACAATTTTTTCAAAAGACGTTAGATTTTTTACCACTGGATAAAAGAAAGATGATGGGTGACCTTACAATTGCAGTGTTAAATCATTTGAATACATATGTAGTAGACCCAGATTCAGCGGTAGTTGGTTTAATTCCAAGTGATGACCTATTAAATAAAATATCAAGAGATTATGATATGGCAAGACTGGACGAAAAATATAGTGAAAAAGAAGAAGAGCACTTCCACAAGGAAAAGGAAAAGGAAAAAGAAAGGGAGGGGTTATCATCACTATCTATTTCAAGTGCCACCTCAGCATTTTCATTGATTATGAAATCAAATGATTCAAACTCTACCTCTTCATCTGGTGGTAACATCAACACAAACAACATTAGTTTAAATTCAACTGGTTTTTCAACTTTAATGAATTCAAATACAAGCAGTAATAGGGATAGCTACTATAGTATTTCTAGCAGTACTGGTATAAATAATAGCAATAGTATTAATAACAACAATAGTAATAGTAATAACAATATGACAAACAATACTTTACCATTTCCAATAATATCAACATCAAGAGCATCACTTTTAATGAATGTTATCAATTGGAGCGCTTTAGATGATATTAATCAAATTGCAAAATCTGTAAGAAGATATGCATCACTTTTAAGAGGTTGCGATAGAATTAAAAAAGGTGATTTAATCATTGTAAGATTCAATCAATACCAACAAAATTCACATAAAAAAACATTTATTGGTGGGTTTAAGGTAAGCCACCAAGTTAATAATAGTAATGGTGCTATTTCACCATCATCAACTTTACAAGATATTTCTAGTAATAATCAAACACAATCAACACATAAAAACAAATCAGTTATAACATTAGAGGAATATGTCGAAAAAATAAGTTTATCAACATCAAACCCATCCCCATTAACAAATACATTTAAACCAAGGGCTCAATTTGCAAGATACACTGGAGAAAGAGAAGATTATTTTATCAAAGTCTATTTTTCATCCGAAGAGAATGAAGAGGTATTAGTTGGCATTGAAGATGTTTTGGTTTTAAATAAATATACTATTGATTCATTAAAGGATATTAAACTTACCGATAAAATGATATGCCACCCATCAGAGAAATTTTACACACAAGTTTTAGATGAAGTTAGACATCTTTCAATTTCATCGTTAGAAAATCTTGGTGTCGATTTAGATTTTATTCACAATGTATTGCAAAATTCTAATATAAATAGCTTAGCACGTATCAAGCAAATGCACTCAACCCTCACAAACATATCCAACAATCCAGACCATCCGTTATTCAAAGATTTAGAAAAAGCAATTGGTGAAAAAATCGATCTCTACTTAAACCAACAGTTGGATATGAGATTTATGTTTATACCAAGATACGATAGCACAGTCAATGAGTTAAAGAGCTCATCATTTTTACAAGCCTCTATGAGTAAGGTTAAACAAGCATTGGGTGGATGTGAATTAGCAATGGACCGATTAAGACAAGAAAAAGATTTATATATGAATGGTATCAAAAAAGAACAAATCAATGCATGGATGTTAAAGAGAGTCGAAACAAGAACAAACGAATTTTTAACAGAACGTGGTTACAACTTCTCTGCAATTCCAGATAATTATATTGAACAACCTCCCAATAATATCAATGATGTTTTTTCAAATTTAATGTTAATTCAAAAGATTTTAGATCCCCAAGAGCAAATGATAGAAATTATTACTATCGAAGAGGATAAAAAGGAAGCTATTGATAATAGGGTTGAAAAGAAAAAGGGTGGCTCATCATCAAATATTACAGTTTCATCAAGCTTACCAAATACCCCAACAAAACTAAACGAAAGTAGTGGCAGTATTAATGTACCATTAAATAATAGCACAGGTAAAATTAGTCGTAGTGGTAGTGTTGTACTTCGATCACCACCAAAAGAAATTCCAGCTAATAGACAATCAAGCGGCTCATTTGCTAGTATTGGTAGTAATAATCAATCACCAATTTCAGCCTCATTTACAAATAATAATAAATCAAATAATAATATTGATGATACAAGTAGTAATAATAGTAATACACCAAATTTTATTCAAAATTCTACCAATACAAGTAGTCAATCATTACTTTCACAACCAATTAACTTAACACTATCAAATAAATTTTTCAGCTCACCAATACCATTAATTAAAGAATTAAGAGAAGAGATCTATCCAATTATCCACGATTTTGTAAATAAATGTCAAATTATTTTAGCAGATCAATTTAAGTTGGAAAAATTCTCTACTGAAGCTGTTAAACAAGCTTTAAAGGAGGCTAAAGAATCTGAATCAATCGAAATAACAAGTTTAAACTATATCGAAGATATGGTTTATGATTTGGACTATTTATCTGAAATGGAAAGATTAGAAGATGCCAAAAATGAAAGATCACCCCACATTGTACCAGTTGGTGGCTTAGTTATCAATACATTTGCTCGTTATGAAAACGAGTTAAATACAGTTATGGAACTTTGGAATGAAAGCTCAGATACCTCAAGTGAAGATGGGGATGGCTCTGGTACTACTAACACCAACTCAATAACTACTTCCTTAGATAGCAGTGGCGGCACATTAACATTAACAGTTACCAAGAAACAACCCCAACGTTTTGATGAAGGTAAATCATTACTTCATGTAACTATCAATACTGATGATGTTGATCAAGTTGAAAAAATACTTGTTACAGAATCTTACTCGATTAATGATGTTGATATTAATGGTTGGACTCCACTCCATTCCGCCTGTTGTTTAGGTAATGCCGATATTGTTAAGCTTTTGCTTCAAGTCGATGATATTGATGTAACCATTAAAAACAAAGATGGTGCATCGGTTCTTCATTATCTAGTTAGACATTCACTAACCGAAAAGAGAAAAGAAGCAATTTTAGAAATTATTAAAAAAGGTTTAGATATTAGCGTTGGTAGTAGACATGGTGAAACTCCATTACATTCAGCATCATTTAGGGGTCATAACGACGTTGTTTTGTTTTTAATTCAAAATGGCGCCAATATTAATGCAATTACAGCGTAAGTAATTTTATTTTTTATTATTTTTTTCTTCAAAATACCCAAACTTTATTTTAGTTATCAAAATATATGCACAATTACAGTTTCTTTTTTTTTATCATATTTTTTGTATATCAGTATATAACCACCCGATTTATATTTAAAATAGATTACAAACATATCCAAATTTATTTATATTCTTTATAATATGTAAATAATAATATTTTTTAAATACCATAAAAAACTTCTTTTAACATTTATTTTTTATCTATACAAACCATTAACCCATTCTCACGCATCACCCACGCGCACTCACGCACACTCACGCTATATTTTAAATCTATATCTTTTTTATCTCTTTACTAAAAAAACAATTAATTTTTTTATAAATTTAATAATCTATTAATTTTAATTGTTTAAATTTTTTTATATTTCACACACCCATACTTTCGTTTTTTTTTTTAAAATTTCATTTAATTTCTTTTTATACATTCTTTAAAATCTATACACGTGCTAATACTAACTCTTTTCTTTTTTATTAAAATATAATTATGTTTATACAAAATATATTATTATAATATTTTATTATTTAAATAATTTTAGTGGTAAAGAAACATCGCTACATTATGCCGTAACAGCTGGTAGAGCAAATATAGTATCAACATTATTACAAAATGGCGCACAGTGGAACATTGTTTCAAAAAGAGGTACACCATTAGATTTAGCAAGAAACGCAAAACTAACACATATAGTTCAACTATTAGAGAATGGTCCGGATGTTGATAATTTTGCATGGAGAAAACAAAATAAAACTTTATTGCAGCAACAAAAAGTTATGCAAATACTCAGACAACAACAATTACCCAAACATTCAAATTATCACGAATATCGTAAAAATCAAGATGAATATAATCAACAATTAAATTTACACCAAGCTCAAGCCTCTCTACCAAATTTAAATAAAAATAACAATAATAATAAAGAATCAGGTGATCAAAATAATAATAATAATAATAATAATAATAGTAATAATAATAATAATAATAATAATAATAATAATAATAATAATAATATTATTATTATTGATAATGGTAATAATAATGGTAAAAATAATAATTTGGATAGCAATATCGATAATAATAGTAATAATGTAAATAAATCAGATAATAATACCGATAATACCAATACTAAAATCAGTAGTGATAATAAAAATAATGATCACCCAAATAGTGATATGTTTTTAAGAAAATATAAAATTTCAATTGGTGGGTCAAGAGCAAATATTAGAAGAAAATCATCATCATCATCATCATCATCATCATCATCATCATCATCATCATCTACTAGTTTACCAACCTCAAATCAAGAAACTGTTAAATCAACAACTTCATTTACTCCAATATCACCTAATTTAAATAATGATAAAACTAACAACAATAATATAACTGATAATAATAAAAATAATAAAAATAATAATAATAATAATAATAATAATAATAATAATAATAATAACAACAATAATAATAATAATAATAATATTAACAATAATATTAAAACATCTTCTTTAATTAGTGATGCATTTTTAGAAACAGTTAGTTCTTTACCACCACCCCCAACAACAATAACGCCAAGAAAGTAAACAATTAACCCAAAAAATTTAACAATAAGTCATAAAATCATTATTTATTCAATAAAAATAAAAACAAAAAAAAATCTTATATTATTACCCTATTATATCAGATAAATAAATTAAAAAAAAAAAAAGCACATGATTTTGTAAATTTTTTTCTGCACATTATCTTCTTAAACTATCCACTTTCGTATTTTTTTTTTGCAAATTTTTTTTTACCCCCCCCAAAAAACAAAAGAAAATTATATTTTTTATAATGATAAAAACAAAAAAAAAAATAATTTGTTTATGTTAAATTTTTTTTTTTTTTTTATTTCCCACAAATAAAAAAAAAAAAAAAAAAAAAAACAATAAATTTAATATTCATTATATTTATTTTCTAACTACATCTAAATTTGGATTTCATGAAATTCTTTAATGTATTTTAAGTATATATATTTTTTAATAATTTTAATAGATAGAATAAAAAAAAAATAAAAAAAAAACACTATTTGATATTAACTTTTTTTTTTGGGAAAAAAAAAAAAAGAAAAAAAAAAAAAAATTAAATTTAATACATAATTTATTACTATTTTTATTTGATTTTTTTATCTTTAAAACATTTATTTATGAATGTATTATCTTGTTTTTTAACTAGTTATTGTAAAAAAAGTCTCTTTTATTTTTTGAAGAATCACCAATTATATTTAAAACTACTCCACCAACACCCATTTTTTTAAATAAACATAAAAAATCTTATTGGATTGCATGCCCAACCTCTCAAAAATATTATTTTTTTTTATTTTCTTTAATTTTTTTTTTTATTTTTTTTTTTTTTTTCAATTTTTTTTATACATTCATTATTTTTTACGATTAAAATAACAATATCCCCATTTAAAAAATAAAATTATTTTTTTTTATTTTTATTTTTTTTTTTTAATTTAAATTTAAAATTTTTTTTATTTTATTTGATAACATCAACTTTCCACAGATTATAACATCATCAAATAATATAAATTTTTTAATTATTTATACAAAATAACCTAAAATAATAAATACTAAAAATTAATAATAATAGTTGACATCAACAATTAAATAATTTTTTTTTAGTGATATACTCTTTTCTAAATAATAATCAACTTAGTCCTCTTTAGTATTAGTATTATAACACCATCATTTTTTGGTTTAAATTATAGAAATTTATAAAATTTCTTTTTTGTTTTTTTCAAATTTATAATGTTCCAAACCTTAGTCAGTCCTAATAAATATGAAATTGATGATATTAATTTAGTAACCACAAATAAACCATCACCATTAATTAAAATTGGCATTATTTTTGCCTCGTTTGGTATTGCCGTCACCACCATATTCCTTCATCTTCAATATAATGGAACTATTAATTTCCCATGGTATGCTGTATGGTTACCAGTAATGGCCGTTACAATTCCTTGTTTTTTCCATCCAATCGGTAAGCATTTTATGAAGGAAATTCGTATCATCCATAGATACCGTGATACCACCATTTCAAGAACAAAACGTTATTTCTACCGTGGTCTTGTTATTGCCCCTTTCCTTTGGTTCTCAATTTTAATTGCAGCAATTGTCATAAGACATTACCTTGGTAAAAAATTTTATTTATTCCATGTTTTCATTCCAGCTCAATTATTATCTTTAGAATTTTTAGTTTTGGCCCATCTCGATAGAAAATTACCAATGTCCACTAAACATTGCTTTAAAACTTGTTCATTTTTATTATTTATTTTTTCATCTTTAATTTTCTTGAGAGTAAGTAAAAAAAAAAACTGTAAAAATAAAATCTTTTTTAATACTAACTTTTTATTTTTATTATTATTATATAGTTCCAACTTAATGACCCAAATAGATTACCATGGGTTTATGTATTCTGCCCATTATATATTGGTGAATGCTCACTTATTTTTGACGCATTATCAAGATATTATTCAAGAACTGAGGACAAAGAGTGCGATTCAGTATGTTTTAAATATGCATTCCTTCCTCTTCTTGCTAAGTTTATTTTAATTTCATCATCATCTGTATTTTTCGTTTTCTTAACCTTATATTTAGAATATGGTTATATCTCAATTAATGATTTGTAAGTATAAAAATAACATATTTCTTTTAAAAACCTCATTATATTAATTAATTTTTTTATATTTAGATTTGTCCCATTATATATCTTTGAATTTTTCATTATTCTTTTCTTGATCAAGATGTCTTTTTCAAAGAAAAGAGTAACACCAGAATCAATTAATTAAAAACTAAGGAAATTTTCCAAAATCATATTAGCCATAAACAAAAAAATTATAATTCAAATTGAATTATTATTGAATGTATTAATATGAATCAAAAAAAAAAATAACAAAAAAAAAAACCCAAAATAACACAACCACATCAAACAACAAACTAAAAATACTATAAATATAAAATTATGGTATACTGATTAAAATGGTAAAATAATTTTCTCTATAAATTTTAATTTAAAAATATATTTACTATAGTTAAAAACTAATTTAAATTTTAGAATTTAAATTATAAAAAAAAAAATAAACTTTATAAATGATATTAATTTTTTTAACAAATAAATATCTTTTTTTTTAATTCCACTTTTATATTTGTTTTTTTTATATTTTAATTTTATAATATAGTCCATTTAAAAAAAAAAATAAAGAAATTCTTTTAATGACAATAATTTAATATATTGTTATTTTTAATTATTATAAATAACAATTATTTATTTGTGTAGTTTTTTAGGGTTATATTTGTATTATTATTTTATTTAAAAATATGTATACTTACCTAGTTGTACTTGTATGACACAATAGTTTTTTTTTTTTTTTTAATTTTGTTTTTTATTTCACAACTTTAATTTCTTAAACTAACACAAATAGTGTGGGTTTTGCGGAGTGAATCCTGAAAGATAATGATATGGATACTTGTCCCAAAGTTTTAAAAGAAATTTGGTTACTTTTAAATTTTATATTATCTCCAAATTATCGAATAGTCCAATTTAAATTTAAATTAATAAGTATAAAAAAATTATTGTTTTTAAATTGGGTATTATAAATTTTTAAATTATTTGTTTTTTTTTAGGTTTTTATTTTTATATTTATAGATTGTTATATATTTTTTTTAATTTGATTCTTCGGCTTCAGTATCTATAGCTTTTAATCCACCTACAGTTGAGAATGCTCCCATGTAACCAGTGACATGATCTGGGAATTTATCTTTAAGTTTTAATGGAACTCTAGCTCTTTTTGGTGTGAAATCGAATTTTTCTGGTTTTAATAAATATCTAAGACCTACACGATCATAATATACTGGTTGGGCTGTACCACCTAAATTTTCAATAGTTTCTTTAGCTGCTTTTGAAAAATCTGTTAATTCAATATTAATTTTATGCTTGAAATATTCCTTGCCCTAAAAATAATAAATCTACAATTAGTTTCTAATATAAAAAATTTTCTAATATTTGAAAAACCAAAACCAAATGATTATTATTTTTGTTATTATCATTATTATTATTATTATTGTTATTATAACTATGATTATTGTATCCAATATACCCATTATTTAATAAAAACATACATCTGATAAAAGTTTAATACCATGTGAAATTGAACCAGTGACATTTAAATCAAATAAGTGCTTCATTGTAATAGTTTCATTTGGGTTAATTTTGCCTTCTGTAATTAATCTATTTAATGTATTAAAGTTGACTGGGTTATAAACTCTTTCGAATTTAGAGTTTGAAAAACCATATTTTCTCATTTTTTTGAATAATGGGGTTTGACCACCTTCAAAAGCTCTTGGAATATCTGCAATGATGAATGATGATTAGTTTTTAATTTTCCATAGTGTAATTATAATATATAATGATTACTTACTGTGACCAGCTCTAGCTTTTTGACCACCATGACCTCTACCTGAAGTTTTACCTTTATTTGAACCCATACCTCTACCAAGTCTAATTTTCTATAAATATTAAAAGTAAAGTGTTAATACAATATGCACCCCTATTGATAATCATAATCGCAAACATTAAAACGATTGCCAAAAATATCCAATAAATGTATCCAATGAAATAAGTATCTTTTTTTTTTTTTATGGTTATTTATAATTTGGTGATATTACTGTTTTGGTTGCACCTGGATTATCTCTTAAATTGTTTAATGAAACTTCATTTGGATTAGTATAAATGATAGTTCTGACACTACCAATGGTACTGGTATTACTGATGTTGATTTTATTGAAACTTTTAACTAAATTTGACAACATTATGCTCTAATGCAAATTCTCTTTCAAATCTTTCGACTATTTACAATAAGAAAAAAAATCTACAAATGAACAATATATACAGATCAAAAAATGAATATGTGTAAAAAAAAAAAAAATTTTAAAAACGAAAAAAAAAAATTAAAAAAAAATTAAAAAAAAAAAAATTTTAATTTTTTTTTTTTTTTTTTTTAAAATGGTTTATAATGAAATTTTATAGATTATAATATATTCTTATATTATAAACTTAAATATGATCATTAATAATAGCTATAAATGTTATTATAATTAATTGTTTTCATTTATAAAATACATTTTTTATTTTAGATTTTTTTTTTAAATTTCTTTTTCTTATTTAAAAAATATAATTTTTTTTTTTTTAGTTTATTAAATAATTTTATTTTATTTGTTAAGATTATAGCTTCATAGTTTTCCAAATAAATAGATATTAAAAAAAAAAAAAAAAAAAAAAAAAAAAAAAAAAAAAAAAAAATTAAAATTTTAATTTTTTTTTATATTTTAAAAAATTCATTAATAGTTCGAAAAAATTTATTTATTTTCATTAATGTTTTTAAATACAAGTTTGTAAAAGTAGTTATCTAAATAAATAATTTTATAACAAGTTTTTTTTCAATAAATATACATATATAATATAAAATGTCAAAACATCGTAAGTATCTTTAATATAATTATAAATCTCAATAACATATCCTAAACTCACTTTTATTTTTTTTTTTTTCATTAACAATATAGATCCAGATTTAATTATGTGTAAGAAACAACCAGGTATTGCAATTGGTCGTTTGTGTGAAAAATGTATGTATAATGTTTCATAGTAAAATAAAAGTATGGATATTGACACTAACAAAACAATTTTTATTATTTTAGGCGATGGTAGATGTGTAATTTGTGATTCATATGTAAAACCATTTACTTTAGTTAGAATTTGTGATGAGGTATGTTTCATAACAGTGTATTTTATTTATAAAAACCTTTTAAAATTAATTTTAATACTAATATATTTTTATAAATTAAACAGTGTAATTATGGTTCTTTTCAAGGTAAATGCGTAACCTGTGGTGGTAATGGTATTTCAGATGCTTACTATTGCAAAGAATGCACTACACAAGAAAAAGACGTAAGTATATTCAATTATAATATATAGTTATTTCAAAAATTCTAATATTAATACATTTTTTTAGAGAGATGGTTGTCCAAAAATTATAAATTTAGGCAGTTCAAAAACAGATCTATTTTACGAAAGAAAGAAATATGGTTTCAAGAAAAGATAAAAATTATATTCAGTGTATATATTTTATTTATTTAGAAATATTTTAATAATTTAAAAAGTTTATCGAAAACCTGTATAAATCAAAAAAAAATTAAATAAAAATAAATTCAATTAAACTTTAACGAGTTATTAAAATATAAAAAGAAACTGATAAAATTTATTTATTTATTTCTTTTATTTTTAAGTGATAACAATAAGAAAAAGATGTTTTTGTAAAAACAAATAATATTATATATTTTAAAATATCTCATTTAAATCTTGTTAAAAATTTAATTTTTTCCCCCATCAAAAAGATTTTTATAAATTATTGAATAAATAGTTAATAAAAAAGAAATTGCTGAAAAAATAAAATATAAACTAAAACTTTTTTTTTTTTTTTTTATAATAAATCTTATTATAAAATTAATCAATTTCGAATTAGGGATAGGTTAACTATACAAAAAATCCCTAAAAGATACTATTAGTTTTTTATTAAGAATTTAAAATTCTTTTTTTTTTTTTTTATAATTTAATTACAACTATAGTTATTTGAGGATTGTCTTGATTGACAATTATGGCATGTTATTAAATTACTTCTACATGTACATTGGGTTGTTGTTGTGGATGTTGTTGTTGTTGTTGTTGATGTTGTGGTGGTGGTTGTTGATGTTGATAGCTTTGATAATACACAGGTATTTAGTTTTTCGGATAAATCATAAACCTCTTTATTTTTAACTACCAAACTAATCCAAAGTTGTTCACCAAAATAAAGACCATCGGCAGTACAAATTCTCCAGTATTCGCCAACTAATTGTTCTTCGCAACCATCAGGTAATGAGGGTATAAAAATAGGTATTGATATGTTAAAAATTTCACCTGGTGCAATTGGTGGAAGTGAAATCGCTGGTACTTTTGGTAAACGAACATTACCACAAACACGGACTAATAAACAATCTTTTAAAGCTGGTCCAATATTTTGAACCCTCCAAACTTTAGTGTGCTCTTCATTTGGTTGAACTTGGGATCCAAATAGAAGGGTTACATCACTAACGAATTTAAGGCCTAGAGTACATTTTGGGGTTTTTCTTTTGTATGGACAACCACGAATTGGAGTTGGGGTTGAGGTAGCACCTGCGCCAGTAGAGGAAGTGACGGTCTTTTTACAAACTTTTGGTTTGGCATAGATTTGGATTTGATGAGTTGGATCATTTGATGGGCATGTTGGGGTCTCATTTGGTTTACATTGTTCGCAAAAAGAGAAGCAGCAACGATTACATTCATAAAGATTACCTATAATTGGTGAGAATTTACAAAATGCACACTTTGTACCTCTATGAATACTTGGACCTACTACTCTTAATACGTTTGTATGATTACCAACTGCAGAGCTTGATCTGCTACTACTGCTACTATCGCTATCCTCACAAGATGGGTTAATAGAAGCAGGGTAGCTTGGATGTTGATCATTAACTTGTGGTTTTGGTGATGATGATTTTTTACGTTGAGACATAAGATCAACCTCTCTTTGTAATTGAAGTTGTGATTGAATTGAATTTAAATTATTGGCACTATTTGAAGAAACTTGATAAACACTGGCATGTGGAATACTTTTTGAGTTTGATTGGGCCATTTCAGAAATTGGTGAAGAAATAGATGGAGATGGTGGTGGTGTATTTGGTGGAACATTAAAAATTGGACAAGATTGATTGGCAAATTGTTTTAATTGTGGGAAGAAACCTAACAACCATGGCATCGTTATTAAACCATTTTGAATTTTATCGCAAATAGACTCTTTGATGGTTGCAACTTCTGCTGGGTTGGAACTTTGACGTAAATTATAGAATAACTTTGTGATATCTTTTATAAATAAACCTATATCTTTGCATGCATTGGTTCCCATTGGTGGTTTACCTTTATTTATAAACTTTTGGTGTTCATCTTCAATATCATCATCTTCGGTAAATGTTCTATTTAACATTGGGCAAACACCAGCAGAATTACTTGTAAAACTATCTTCATCCATAAATTCAAATGATTCATTTCTTTTTATATCTGTATCTGTATCAATATTTGATAAAATTGAGTTGGTTGTAGTTATTGATGACGATGATAAATTTAATTGAGATGGTACTCTATTTAATGTATTGCTGCTATTGCTATTATTATTGTTTATATTTTTATTACTTTCCAGTATTGATCTCATACTGTCTTCATTGTTATTTATATTATTTTTATTTTTAAAATTATTTTCGGAATTGATATTATTATTATTATTATTATTATTATTATTATTATTATTATTATTATTATTATTATTATTATTATTATTATTATTTAAAAATGGTGGTTGGCTTCTGGAAGAGTAAGATGATGATGGTGAATTATCTTTTTGAACTATTGGTATTGTTTGTGATGGTGATGTCGAAAAATTTTTATTACTATTACTATTATTATTATTATTATTATTATTATTATTATTATTATTATTATTATTATTACTATTATTATTATTGCAAATATTATTATTTAGAATGTTATTTGCATTAAAGCCATTTCTATAATAAAATCCTCCAGGTGTTGACACTTGGGTTTTAAAATGGCCTGGAAACATTGAAAACTTCTGAGCCATGCTATTAATATTGCTATTATTGCTGTTATTATAATTATTATTATTATTATTACCACCATTATTATTATTATTATTATTGTTATTATT